AAGTCCATTGGCGTGCTGCTGACGTACCTTCCCGGTGGGGAGAGCTAGCCGGGCAGCGCTGCGGTCCTGCCACTCCTCTGCCTCCTGGGAGCTTATTTTGGGGAACTCGTGCACGAAGATGCACTGTGCAGAGCAGAGCAACCCCTGACCACTGCTGGCTCCAGCTCTCCAGCCACTTCAGGCAGGACATTTCTTGCTGCATCACTACCAGGTTTCCTGGGTATCCAGAACAGACCACCCCTCAGCCCCACCGCAGCGGCTGCCCCTGTGGAACACCCATCAGCTGTGCCCTGTGCTTAACCTTGCTTGCATTAAGGTGGTTTCCAGAAAGCCTTGGGCTCTGCCTCAGGCAAAGCTTCCCCAAGGCAGCAGGATGAGGCCCTGCCGCGGACAGGACGCTGCACAGTGCCGTGCAGCAGCGGGGAAGGTGGTGCAGCCTCCCGAGGGGGTTTTCGGGAGCAGCAGGCTGTGCTATTCAGGCCCTCGCAATGGCACCCTCACAGCAGGGATGGGAGGGACACAGCTGGGAGCACTTAGATTAGCCCCAGCAAACACATTCAGAAAATATGGCTTTTTAATTAACAGGGTCAAGAGGGAGAACTTCCCAACCGGTCTGCCCAGGGTGAAAATAAGTCCAGGGGAGCATGCACCGAGTCAGCGGCACCGGCACGGGCACAGCAGCAGCAAGTGGAGTGGGCACATCTCCCTCCCTACCCACTGCTCGCCCCGCGCCTGCTGCAAGGCTGCACAATTTGAGACATCGCTTTCTCAGAGAGTGTTAGGAAAAATAATAACAACAAGGAAAAGAGAGATTAGCAAGCCCAACACATCAAATCCATGAGCCCTGCAGAGCTGCAGAACGAAAGCGGGGGTGCAGGGAGAGGTGCCCGGCTGTTAGTCTGTACGCAGAAAGCTCTCAGCACATTGTGGTTTATACACATAAGACATTGTTTAACAACCGAGCGTTATTGCTATGCATCCATTTCCAGTCTAACCATTAAGCTTTACGAGTCAACATTAAACATTGCTTGTTCCATACAAAGCACATAGGTGTCAGCGGTTACACTCCTCCATCTATGCGCGTCAGGTATACGGCGCGGGTCGAAGATGTGTGCAGCCTTTGGACTCCCAAGGAGTCCAGCAGCACTGACTAAATGCACCTACAGATCCCTGTTACACCTTACAGGCTAAGGGCTAACTTCCAGTCCAAGACTGGGGGGTCTGTAAGAGCCCCCCGCCCAGGGAGAGGAGGGCAGGCACTGCCCGGGCTCCCGCTGCTCCCTGGGGCTCGCTGTGGCTAACAGCAGCCTACTCATTAAAAAATAGGAACGCTGTCTTTTTGTTCTTTTTTTTTTTTTTGATCATTTTGATCTCTTTGATCATTTTATAGAAATACAAAGATTAAAATAATTTATCTCAACATCATTTCTATTACAATCATACAGTGTTTTCCCTTCAAAACAAGTGCATGTATGTATATATATATAAGTGTATATATAGTATCTCTAGAGCTTCCCTCCCCCCCCCAAGAAAAGCAGCAGTGACTGAAGCAGGTACAGCACACAGGAGCTGATCCTTCCTGCTCCAAGGCAAGGGTGCCCAGGGAAAAAGCGCAGGGCTCGCCCTGACGACTCATTTCCAAGCACATTACATTGGCATGAAGCAGGGAACTGGGGTGCTCCCTCTCCATCCCTTTGGGAAACAAGCCCCCCTTGCTGTAGGCAGCTCTGCCTGCACGTCCAAGGGCTGCGGGGCTCAGGGCCTGCCCAGCTGCCCGCAAGCACCGGGGAGCACCAGGAGGAAGGAGAAGCAATCAGGGGACTGGAAATGAGATCAACTCCTTGAGCAAGCTGCTAATTAGTGGCAAAGAGGAAAGGATCCTGCAGCTCAGACAGGGTTGCTCCATTTACATACTAGGCACTAAAAATGATGATTGCTAGGAAGGTATTTACACAGAAGAAGGATCATACCTCTCCCTCCCCTTTTCAATCCTCAGGTCAGTCATGAACACCGCGATCTTAACAAGGATTTTATAATAAAAATGCAACATACTCTGTCTATCAGGATTGTCTAGGAAGGAGAGGGGAAAGCAGCTGTGCACACCACAGCTAAAGGAACAGCCAAGCAGCGCAGGGACACGTATTACCCTCTTCCATGTTAAAAGAGACTAGAGACAAATCCTCAGCAGAACCTCTCTGAACCTGAGAGAAACAGCAATTTCCAAAGGCCAAATAGGCACCTCACCTGCGTGACACCACCGGGAACCGGGTGGCCACAATGCTGCACCCCCGGGTGCTGCTTGTGCAACGCAGCACAAACTGCCCCTTTGCTGCCCTGCTCTGCCTCCGTGGGGGTGGGCAACAGCAGGACCCCAAGCACACCCTGCTCACCCCAGAGCTGGGCCATGAGGACAGCCTGCCTTAAAATCACTTTGTAATGGGAAACAGGTGGGAAGCATCCCGCAGCCTTACCAAGAGCCGGACTCAGGGCTTTTCTCCTTTGTCCAGCTGTACCCACGTGCTCATAACCCAGCTGGGTGTTACCAACGCACCCCACGCTGCCTCTGCACCCCCACCTGCCTTGGGAAGGCAGTTTGGGCACGCGATGCTTTGCAGCTTCGCAGTCAGGGCATGCGAGCACCCTGCCCAGGCTCTTTGCAGCCTTCTGCAGGGGCTGATAGTCAGGGAGGGGAGGCGGGAGCTGGTGGGGGCTCTGTGGCCTCGAGGCAGCGGCTCCAGATGCATCAGGGGTTGCAAAAATTTCCTGCTAGAGCCTTGCCTTTGCCCCTAGGAGCTGCACACCTCTGCAGGGCTTCAGCCAAGGCGACGGCTCCCTGGGCCCCTGCCAGGGGGCACCTACCCAGGTGTGGCTTTGCTGGGCTTCTTCCCAAACTCAGGGGTGCGTTACAGACCATGGTAGCAGCTGGGGAGTGGGGACCCCAACCCTCGAGGGTGCCCTGGGGGAGCAGGAAGGGTCTTATGCCCTCCGAAGCCTGACTATTCACATCACAGCCAAAGAAAAGGTACAAAAGCTGCTAATTTCTGTCCTGCTAGTGCCGCTCGTACACTTAGGGGTTTGTTTTTACCAAAGAGCTGGCCTAGGGACTGTTGCTGAGAATCTCGTAAAAGCATTTTAATATAGTATATAAATATTGAACTACAAAAATAGACACCTCTGACTGCATGGGCACGCTGCGGGTGAGCTCGGGCAGGCTAAGCCCGACTGGTCTACAAGGGCGACATTTTTGAAGAGGTTTCAAACTGAACTGGAAGGAAATGGGGTCCGATCGCAGCCCGCGGCTTCCTCCTGCCCGCGCCAGCCGCAGAGACAGCGGGGGTCCCGCGGGAGGCTGCTGCCCATGCAGCCGGGCAGGGCACTGGCTGCGGGCAGGGGCCAGGGCCCCCGCCTGGGCATCGCCAGGCCAGCATGCCTGCGCGGCCGGGCCAGCCAGGGCTGGCAGCCAAACCACTGGGGCGAAACCCACCCCTCGGTATTGCCCGGAGCAGCGCAGGTCCCACTGGTGCCCGAGCAGCGAGACCTTCGCCCTGCCCAGCCGCCGGAGCCCTCCTCTCCTCTCCGGGTTTCTGCTGTTCCACCACATCCAGGGAATGGATGTATAAAGCCGACGGTTTGGTTTGGAGATCGGGCGAGGCTGCCCCGGCGGGGCAAAGGCTGCGTGCTGTACGGAGGCGGTGGGGACGGACTGGAGGGCTGCTCAGTCGTCTGCGACAAAGCTGGACCTGGCTGTGGATGCGACTGAGAACCGAAATGCTGGTGCCGAGACGAGACCCGCCCGGCGCAGGGGAAGCAGGTCGCGGCCCTGCTCCAGCAGCATGCGGAGCGGGGCTGCGGCGGGCGAGGGGCCGCACGGGGCGTCCGGCAGGGCTGGCGCTCGCGGCTCCCATCCAGCCGCCTCGTCCGAGTCCTGCGTGTAAACGTAACGCGGGGGAAATCCGCGTTAAGAGACGGCCGAACTGCTGCGCGGGGGAGCGAGGGTCTGGGACCCGGCTGTCACGGCCGCGCCGTCCCCACGGAGGGGGGATCCCTCCGGCACCCACGGGAGCGACCGTCGCTCGGCTGCCTACGTCCCGGCGGACCTTCCCAGTGACGTCCGGGACCCTCTCGGGCCCATCCCAGCCGCGGTGCCGGCGATGCCCAGGGCCGGAGGCCTGGCTGGGCTCACCCCGCGGCGCGGAGCCGCGTGCCGCACA